CCTAGGGATTCACATGGATCCACATACCTTCATGCCGTTACGACTGAGAGATTCCCTCCTGCCTGCATGAAAAAGCCTCGCCTTCTCAGGGCCCATCCGGGTCAGCCTTCTGCCGTGAAAACACACACCGACTTTGCTTCGCCAGGGCGCGGGCGCGCCCGGTCTTGGCATCTTCGCCCAGGCCCTTCTCCAGAAATTCCAGAAGGTCTTCGAGCAGCATGCCTGTGAACCGAATCCGCCCATCAAATCCCTTTCTGAATGAGAAACGTTTCTGCGATCGCCAGGGAACACTTGAAGGGTCTCTCTGGGGGTGCCTGCTTTGCGTTCTCACCTTGTACTCCCAAAATGCTGCACAAGATTGCATGATATGATGGAACCAGGCGCCCCTGGTTGGCTTGAACAGTACATTCGCTCCACCACAAACATAGCAAACATCAATGAAGATCGTCTTCCAAACGTCAATGGTGGCTGTTTCAGTGCGAGAGGGTACTGTTTCAGGAATACCCTGCAACCAATAATCAGGGAAGTCTACGAAGCCTCGTGGAATACTATTTCTTGCTCTACTTCCATTCTTTGGGGATAGGGAAATGACTACAACATACTACCAGTACAACAACCTTGGAGAAGGTGGCATCCAAGTTCACATGAAGCCCAGTGGTAGCATCCAACTGCCCTTTGGCGGTCGGCGGTCCACCAAGATTCACCAAGGAAGTCTTACTTTGTTTCTATGGATGGGGGTTTTACCCATATAATCCCACATATTTGTCAATCTCGGAACTACGACCACCAGGTACGTACTTAAAATCGTCGTACATACAGCAATGGCGGGGCTATTCCCGGTCACCGCTAGAAAACACGCCCTCCCACTCGCCCTCATTCATCGCACCTCCAGCACGAGTGGCTCTGCGCACACGGGATTCCGATTCATCCTGGAAGCTGTGAAGGATTCATTCACACATATCTTTGAGGCTCTGAATATCTGGGGATGGTGAGTCAGGCATTGGTTAAACACATTTCGAAACAACTATGACGACATATATGACGACCAGTATCAGTATCAGCAGGAATGTTAGGCAATCGGAAAGGTGAATGCGGTAATAACACCGAAGTCGTTGTTTGGATTCATGTCCACCCGGTCTTGGTGTGTTCTCAAGATTCAAATCTTCAGCATCCGCGGAGCCCGTAAAACGCTCCGCAGGACGCCACGAGAGCTGCCTCGCCCAAACTGCTGAAGAGATCGTTGAAGATTTGCCCGATGGAGTCGCCGCCCGTGTCGTACCTCAGCGTGACGAGGTCAATTACAGTCCTGATGGGCTGGATGACCACAGAAAGAGAGAGAGAGAGACAGAAAATGAGTATATAATATATTAAATAACAAAGAAACACATATGAATAACAGCAGCGTTAGAAGCCTTCAAGCGAGACTCTTCTCATCAAGCTCTTGGGTCCGTCTCCAGCGCCCATCACCTCCAGGGACAGTGACAAGGGGCTAGAGGAGGAGACCAGAGGGAGAGCACATGTGCTCTTACCGTACCCGTAAGAAGTACTATCCCACACGATGTAAATGGCTCTCAAACACTATGACTATCACCCCATGACATGCTCTGGTATGCTCTGGTTGTCCTTGCATTATTGCATGGCAGGCGGCTTCCTTGGTCTGTTGGGACACCTACTATGAGAAAGACCGGGACACCGGGTGTTCTCAGGACCGATGGTTGAAGACGAGAAAGGTTCGAGGCCCGGTCTCCGGTCTCCAGCCCTAACCCTGTCGACATTGGACTGTCTTGAACTCAAAGGAACGACGCGGAACGGTCTTCCGGACGTTGGCGCCCAAAGGCTTCGTCAACCCTTCTGATTCTCAATCTTCATCTTCCAAAGGCTGCAGCAGCCCTTGCAGAAAGCAAGTCAGGCCACATGGCTGCTGCGAGTGAACCGAACTCCCAGGACTTTCCCTGATAACATGGAACACAAGGTGAACATCTAGCGATGATCTGGAATTCAAATGAATTCAATATCCCAAGGGATCGAATGACTTGTCATGGACTTTGCATCAAGGGGTAACCAAACCACTCCAATCCGCTGAAAAGGAACTGGTCCGACCTCCTCTCTCCACCGTCCGTCCCCCACCTGCGCGGCTTCTTGTGCGGGATGAAGCGCTCGCCGTCCCGCGTTGACCAGCACCCCGCTGGGCACGCTCCCATGCCTTGAGCTTCTCCTTGGGCGCCGGTCCCGGTCGAAGAAACAACGCAAGAACACCGGCCGCTGCCACCGCAACAGCGGTGGCTTTTGTGCTCCTTTGTCTACTAAAAGCTTGATGTTTCAACATGTACGTATACCGCATACATCTACATATATATATATTATAAAATAAGATGCGATAACTTGTGTTGAAGGGGAAGAGTGCCCTTGATGCTTTTCCCTGTCATCCTCCGCCCCTCCGTCCCCTTCGGCCGACGTGCTGGGTCATTCAGGGCGTCGTAGGCAGCCGAGAGCTCCTGCCACCGCTGCTTGGCGTCGGGCAGCTTGCTGACGTCTGGGTGCTCCTTCCTTGGGCAACGGCACGCACGACCAAATGCACGACGGGGAGATTGCCAGCAGGGGTGTAAGCTCACAGCCATTTTGGTGAACTTGGTGGACTCTCCAGATTTACCCCTGAAGAAAGTAAAAATGGCGAGTGAGACAAGTTCGCCAAAAAGGTTGCAAAAATCCCTTACGTCCAGATCATTCGTTTGGACAGTCCAGACAATCCCTTCAGATTTTAGTGGACTCTCACAGCTATTTATTTCCAATCAAAATGGTGAGTGAGATTGTCTCGCTGCATATAGTGTCCATGTCGTTCCAAATGGATCAAGCCATGGTGATGTGCGCAGCTGTGACTGGGCATCAAAGTTTATTCTACCACCCGTGAGCTCCTACCCTGAAGAAACAATGCATCCGGCTATTTCTTGAAACATGCTACCATTTGTTCATATGTTTTCAAATGTCACATTATAAATAGATCAAAGCTCGAACCAGGACATCTGTCACTTTCCCTCACTTCACCCCTCCACCCAACTCCCAGAAAACCCAGCTTTACCCCCCAGCTTGACCTCTGCGGCTTTGCGTCAACGCCTTCCTCCGGTAGGCCTTCTTGATCTCCGCCGGCGTCGCGCCCGGCGAGACCCCCAAGACCTCCCAAGGGCTGCCGCCCAAGGCCCTGCGAGTCGCGAGCTGAGCGCCGGGTCGTTTGGACAAGATCCACCGATCCCATAGAGTCAAGGTGACCACCTGAACTAGCAAACCTTCGGTCTCAGATTTCTACCATCCCTACCGTGGGACATGCCAAGGATCCTGATACTCCCAAATGACTTCGCAGATGCTCCCTGGCACCGCCCCGACGCATTTCAACACCGTGCCACACTGCATATGGCCTCCGCTGCAGCGCCGCCCCACGCCGCGACGAGGCGGCGGCGCCCAAACACGCGGCGGCGCCAAAGAATGCGGTGGCGTCACGCGTGGCGCTGGCGTGTCTTGGCAGCGTCGAAGGCCAGGAGGCTACAAAGGAAGGTGTGCCTCAGGGCATTTGGTATTTGAGCAAGGTGCCAAACCTGTTTGGCGGATCAATGTGTGTTCTACCTGCAGCAAGTCTTGATCAAATAAATATCACCTGTGGGTGACATCAGTGGTCTGAAGGTTTGTTCTGACATGGAAGGGCATCGGGCTTGCGGCCACGTCTTTGGGGTGGAGGGAATGTCTCTACACCTGTCACAAGAAGGGTGTTGGTGCTATAGACAGTAGAGCTGTGGAATGACAAGAGCCCCACAACCAGGATCCTGCCCGAATGTAGGTTCACAGTAAACCACGAACCCAAATATCTTGATATTTGCCTCATCATTCATCATGAGTTGCCTCTCTACAGAGGTTGCTCTCTCTTTTTCCTCCAACATACCTGTACTGCTCCGCCATGTCCGGAAGGCAGGGCGGTTGTACCGGTCTGGCTGTATCTTCCCCGGTCCCACGCATCGCACCGCTCGCCTCCCCACGGGACCGATTGACCCGGCAGGACCGGCGCGGTGGCGACACCACGCCACATGGCGGGGCGGGTCTTTCGACTGCGGAGACCGCGTGGCACCGGTGACCGCAGGACGATGTGTCTTTAAAGAATCCCTTTTTGGGTTTTCCACTGCTCCTTATGTTTTCTGGAGGCCTGGGTCAAAGAGGCTGAACTATAGTACTGCACTTGCATAGTGATACAATACAGAATTCCGTCCGTCCTTGCCACCCGTGTACATACGGGCACCTGTTGTGAGGCACCACCTTTTGGAAGGATGCAGGATGATGCAGGATGATGTGATGGATGAACGAAGTGTTCTAGCACGAAGTTGGCGCTCGACATCGCTCGACCAACTGCGAACTGATTTGACTCTTTAGCCAATGGCTCCAAAGCTTGAGCCAAAGGACGTTTCATGGGAAGGACTGAAGGTTGGTTGCCCTGTCTGTATGGCCCTAGTCTGGTCTATCACTTGGAGCCCAGTAAATACAGTATATCAGTATATATCACCTTAGGATTCCTATGTCACTTGTTTAAACTGCTTGGGACATTGAGAGTATGAGAAGCCAGAGTGAAGTTGGATACCCAAGTAACCCAAGTAATATGCAGCTCTAACATGCTCTAACGCCGTTTGGTCCACCATCCGGCATAGATCATGACACCAGGAAAAACCATACCGACACATGCCGACCAAGAGATACCAAGAGCAGGGAGAGCACATCATTGGCCGCCCTCGGGAGTCGGGAGTGTTGGAACCCGTCCGTGACAGGATGGGCCAATGTTCCTCTCTTCAAGTTTGCTTAGAATTTCTGGAAGTTTTTGGCTTTTGTGGGCCCCTATCAGAAGGGTTTGGAGAACTATGAGAGGCCTGATCTTGGGCAAGTACAATGTCCTCAGTATAGTGGATGAATGTGAATGATGTCTTCAACCATGTTAAACCCAAAAGGGAAAAGGACACATGAAAGCAAAGGAGCTCCGTTCGGGTTCTCCCCAACACCTCATAAAGGAGCTCCGTTCCATCCAGTTCTCCCCCCCAGTTCAGCGAGAATTGGCGCTCACTTTTTGGCACTCAAAGATCGTCACCTCGGGGAGGAAGAGCGAAGGGACCGAAAGGGATTCGGGGATTCGGGCAAAGTGGAACCCGAGATTTCAACCTCCCTTACGAAAAGCTTTTTATGATCTTACAATAAGTAATATATATGGAATGTTTCTTTTAAAACGGGAGTCTATATATATATACATGATACATGTCTATACATAGGGTTGCCCAACCTCCAAAACGCATTGGACCCAGGCGCATCGAACTTGGGAGCGGTGCTCTTCTTCCAACGTCCAACTCCGTCGGGGGTTTTCATCCACCCACAAGACTGGTTCTTCCGCAATCCCTCTCTGAAGTCGATCTAAAACATTCTAAACCCACACACTCCATTGGACTGCCATATTTGCCTACATTGGGGTGGTTGAAGTTGGGGTCAATGGGGCGGCATATATGCCACACATGTGGCATATATGCGTCTGGCATGCGACGATGGCGAAGTGATGCGACGACTTCTGCCGGTGATCCCACGACGGTTTTCGCCGGTGTCCCAGTGGCCACCGGTCACCAGCTCCTCATCCGTGTCAGGCGTCTCGGTGTTTTCCAGCGGTGCTCTGCCCTCGGCCGCTTCACCTCAGAGTCTCGTTGCTTTTGCTTTCATGTTTCCGTCTCAGCAAGCGGCATTTAAGGGAACATCCAGAGAAAACTAACTACGGGTTTCCTGCGGTTCCCTGCAGAGTTTCCCCTTGGTTTAAGGGAACATCTACAGGAAACCACGGGTTTCTTGTAGATGTTTCCCCTACAAACCAAATTCCTTGGAGCTATTTCCTCCACTCGCGCAGGACCCAGGTCCGGTCACTTTTCCGAAGAGAAGGTCTATAGTCTAACATCTGGTCCTACCCCAATCCTGTTGGGTGGGCTAGAAAAAATCCCACAAAGCCCCATGCACGGAAATGATGCCGGGCCTACATTACCACCTGTTCAACCAGTTCTATGATCCCAAAAAAGCGAGCCCCACACCAATATCGTGTTTGGGTCTCCCACCAAAATACCATCCAATACCCACACGATATCACACGATCCACAAAGGCCTTGGATGTGCCCGATGGTCCCCGAATGTCCCAAACGTGTCGATGGTCTACGTGACGTCAAGAAATGGGGGTGAGGTACGGTGAGGCACGGCTGGTCCGGCGATGTCCGGCCACACACAGGTGGGAAAGCTGGAACATGCGATTTTGAAGACATGACTTCATGACTTAGGCTACAGAACGCCTGAGGAAACCTACATTATATACGTGTCACAGAAACAGATCAGGACATGCGTCCAGTCCGTCCAGTAAAGAAAGACCTTGAACACGTGTCTTTCCTATGGGCGCCCATGGGACAACATGATCCTGTACTCAGTGACTAATATGACTGTCAGAAGAAAGACCCAAAGACTATCGCTTTCTGTCCTATGTCCTTCTGCCCAGGTGTCCTGCTTGTGAACCAGGCCATTCCCTTACAAATAGTTCCGGCGATACCCTTGTAGCAAATAGTCTTCGGACAGTCAGCGCCTGGCACAGCATAGGCAAGCGCGGTGGCAGGGATGCAAGCGATGGGTAGAAGGGGCATCGGCTGCAGGAGCTTTGCTGCAGCTTCCATCTTCAAGGTGGCCTGAAGGAGTCACTTGGGGCATCGGCGTGCGAGTCGCCTGGGTCAGGGTGCGACTCCGACAGGTGGGCCGGGTGCGAGACGCCTGGGTCATACCCAAAGCATCCATGGGACTGGAATAGGCATTTACCACATTTATGAATCTAAATACTCTAATGCACGTAACCATTCCATACATGGATGGAAGGGATAGTTGGTTCTAGATGTGTTTGTACCTCCAAGTGTCCCAAACGAGCCACCCTTTGACAATGACCAAGAGAACCAAACTGATAGCCAAGTTGCTACCCTTGCAAAGCATTGCTCCTATATTGACTCGAAAGCATTCTACTAGACTCCCACAAGTGGTCAAGCGCTGGCAAGTGCGGCACAATGGTGAGTTCACTCATTTGTTATTGATGATGTAACTTATAATATATTTTCGGAGTTCACGACTCGTTTAAAATTGTCTTTGGGTGATCCCAAGAGGAACTTCCTCTACTTTGTCTTTGGACTTCTTAGGGACCTTGAGTTTGATCAAAGTATGGAAGTGGAACAAATGACAAACCCTCTACCAGCACCCTCACTGCCAGGTCTCTACTGTTCCAGGCTTGTGGGGCCCGAGCTCAGGTTTCAAACGGGGATCTATAAGAGTCGAGCGCCATAAAAAGAACGTCTTCACGGCACCCACGGTGTCCCACCATGATGGAGGTGAACGAGTTGAGCAGGTGAACGACACGTGAAGGGCACAGGTCGCATGAAACGGCCTGCCTTTGACCAGGTGCAAAGATGGCATCGGGGGCACGCAGCCTCATGGCCACGATGCAGTCCCGCACAGCTCGAACGCAAGCTACCACGACAGCTCTTCACAGCAGAACCACATGAGATGTATTTGCGGGTGGTTCCTAGCTCAGGCCCTAGGCCCTGGGCCTCCTAAATCCGGTTGTTAATCTACCAAGTTGATGAGTTCAAAGCTAGACACGCAAAGGTGTGGCAGTTATATTGTCTCTAAAACAAACAAACATCAACAAAGGGATGTTGAAGAAAATACCACGGTCAAAGAGTCAAAAAGCTTAATTCGTTTAAGAGTATAACTTCCCTGTGTTCGTTTTCAAACAACGACATATTCCGTTCTTCGAGTGATCCCCACGTCTCATCCCTGAGCCATTTTTGGGGGCAATCCACTCTCCACACCTTGTGGTGGCAGCCCTGGGGACGCTTCATGAAGCGACACGCCCAAGCGCAGTGCTCCGGGTGCCCTGGCGGAGTCACGAGGGACTCGTTCGGAAGAAAGGCTGATCTTGGCACGGTCATCGGTAAACATGATTGCTGCCGCCCTTCAGGCAATAGCCAATTTAGTTTCCGGATTTTCATGTAGAAGAACATGCTTAGTGATTGTTTGTCCACTTGAATGGATGGTGAATGAACAGTTTCTTATAGATTCAGTTTGTCTGCGTTCGGTCATGTGGTAGAACCCTCAAACAAAGGACACCAACACAAAAACAACATAAATACCATGCAAAACCCAAGTACACACTGCTTAAGTTATACATAGTTATGCAGTATTATTCAAATCATAACATGGTATCATCATTGGTCTGTCCACATGTTCGACCCGTTTTGATATAAAAAGCAACATCCCCAACAAGCGGGGTTTCAGGACTGGTGAACGGTGAGATGACGAGCGATCAGTAAAGTCTCACCGATCCGGTCGTTATACAGTGTTATACAGTAGAGTCTAGAGCCTTCTTGTATCCAAAGCTCACATGGTGCGTGCTCGTGCTGTCTCACGCCGTCTGCTGCTTGAAGGTTGAAAAGGAAAAGGCCCGTTCTCTGACCGACTCCAGACTCCCGAGAGTTTCTCCTGCAAACTCAGTGAAGCGAGTCCGGGGTAGGCGCTGCGCGCCAGCGCGCGCGCCAGCGCCCGCCACCGTTCAATCCGGACACACACGAACGGTGGCTTCGCCTATGGATCCCAACGAAGCGAAGTCGGCCTCGGTGGCGGTCGGACGGCCAGCGTCGAGCGAAGTCACCGGGTGATCGAGCCCTCACATCCGAAGCGAGGCTAGACGTTCCATGAGTCCCAACGAACAAGCAGTGTGGTTGGGGTTGAAGGGAGATGATTCGGAGATGATATATAAACTTATATAAACTTAAACACAACTCTTTGTCAGCAAAGAAAGACATAATATTACAAACACATAGCGGGACCAACAGGTGGAGTTTGGACCCTGTAAGGGGAACCTGGCCACTGGTCAGTAAAAGAAACCAATCTTATTTGAGAACTGGTAGCTCATCCAACCCATACGGCCATGGGCCGATCCAGCCAACTGGTATCAAGGTCTCCGATCGAATGAATGACTTCGAGTACACTGAGTATAAGAGTATACACCTTCTTCCAGATCGCCTCCCTCAATCTGGCCCTGCAAAATCGCAGAATATGGGTTCGCCCAAGAGAAAAACAACAAATCCATTCCCAAACACTCCATGGGACTGGCATATTTACATACATTAGGGTCGGTGTCAATGTAAGTAAATCTTCCAGTCCCACTAGTCGTGCATGTCTGGGATTTCCATCCGCGCAACCTCACGGACGGTGCCATCCTCCGGTCTCAAAGGATCCTGGCTTCGCTGTTGGTGTTTCCACCTGGCCTCCATCTTCCTGGGCCGGTGCAGACCGAGGTAGCGAGCGTTCGTTCCGGTCGAACAGGGCCGGGAGGTTCAGGAAGGTCCACCCAACGAACAATCCCTGATGGCATGATATGACATGTGAAAAAGCCCCAAATAATGTATGAATATGTATGATATTATATGACCAAACTTTGGTGGCTGATGGTGGCTGTCTGTCTTGAACTCTCTACAACATGACTACCCAACCAACATGAGAAGACTTCTGAGTTTCTATGGGCACCGACAACCCTTTCGTTGCACAACCCTTTCAGGTTGAAGCACGGTGTGCGCTCCGAGTTCATGAACAACAGTTGACACCGACAAGGAACTTTGTCATGGATTTCTTTTGGCCCATCCCATTCCCCATGCTGGTTAAAGTCAAACCTCCTCTGAGACAAACCGTCTGGGTGCATCCCACCTGGAAATTCATATAGTAGAGGTTCAGAGGCGCACCGGCGTCTATACTGCTCAAATAGTGATACATACATGTATATATATTATATATATATTATATATATTATATATATATTATATATTATATTATATATTATATATATTATATATATATATTATATATTATAATTCCATGTTGACGCCGTGAAAAGGAAACCATCAATAGCACTCAAAGAACGACCAAAAGCAACAATTTGAGGCTACAGCCGTTGAAGTGTTTGTGGGGGGAATATGATCTGGTGGTGGGGGAGCTCAAAACAAAACCATGAGATTGGTTGAATGTCTGAAACATTCTGAAACACTCCCCGCTTCTTCATTTTGGTGGATCAGCCAGGGTGCTGAGTGCTTGAGGATGTTGACCCTGACCAATGTGCACTTGATGGCTGGTTTACACTTACACCCAGCCCTAAAAATGAAGACATATGGAACTAGCTTGAACGTCATAGCCACCTGAGTCGCAGGCTTGTATGGTCGTCCCCTGCTCTTTTTCCACGGGGCTCCGGCCAGCTCGCCACCTACCTCTCTCCCACGGTCGGCGCTCTCATAGCAAATCCCAATGTTCAGTGACGACTTGGACCAGGTGCACAGGTGGCAGCGCCCACAGGAGATCCCATGCACACAGCCGGCCGCCCTCTTCCTCATCGAGACAAAACTCCACAGGCGACCCGAAGAGCGACGATAGGGACAGGGACGTTTCAGGGAGGTTAGTAGATCGTTCCCTCTCATCTCCAACCCATATTTGTTGGACCCTGAAACACTGCAAAGAATACCCCCACACAACGGAGTGCGGGCTCCAAAACCATGGTTCTCTCACCCAAACACTCCATGGAACTGGCATATTTACATACATTGGGGTGGTTGAAGTCGGGGTCAATGTAATTATTTGTAGTACAGGCCGGTATTTTGGATGATATTTATCAAATTTTATCAATTATATAAGACAATAGAATTAATCCAAAATACCATAGCCCAATCCCACTATTCCAATCCCACTGAGTGTGGCCCCGAAAGGAAGGGTGGAGCCCTTCCTAAGCAAATCACCCAGAACTTTGAAGGGCATGATTTTTAGACCCCCAAGGCCCAAGGGAGTGGATTGGATCATGAACAAATGGGCACCCTGCTCTCGGCAGTCGTCCGGGCACAGGTCTCTCAGTGTTTCGAGTGGTGCCGCGTGACATGAAACGGCAGGGCCAGCGGCAGGTCTCTGGGTGCCCCAGAGACCCCACAGAGATGCAGGTGGACGGATGCCTGGAGGAAGTGCTTCGGACCTATGCCTGGGACATCCGGACTAAATGGCTAAAGGACGCAGGCATCCGGTGTAGAAGATATGGGACCCAAAAGTGCAGTGCTGGTTATTTGTGGTTTACAAGTCACTTGAACAATATTAGTCAGGGGGTGCCATCATCCCAAGTAAAGGAATATATAATGACACATACAAATCCAAAACCACCCAGTTTTGGTGGAGCTTTGTTTCTGTTTCACCCGGACATCCGGGCCGTTTCCACTCTAGACGCTCGCTACGTCTGGCTCATCCTGAAGGGTCGGGGTCGACCTCTCCTGTTCGACCTCTCGATTTGTTGGGCTCAGGGTGTAGGACCAGTTGCCAGTCACGGTCGGAGACTAAGATGATCACTGCGAAACGTGGAGAAAGGCCTTTGCTTAACCACTTAACATCACTTAACCATCATCATCATCATCATCATCATCCACTGTTACTGGCAGAGTAATTGGATATTATTGGATAGTTATATCCAAGACATGCTCCCTTATTTCTGTCTGGCGGAATCCCAAAAGCTTCACTCTCTGGAGAAATGGCGATGGTAGACCTAGCTGGTGGTCAGGCCGCAAATTGCGATAAACATCCGCCCTTGTGGGAGGGAGGGTGGGGTTTTGAAGAGAAAATCACTAAGAGTCAACCACCCCCAATCTCTGATACCCACATGAATATGCACGCAAACTAAGGTAGAATGGCCAAGTTAACCAACGGGTTTCAACCGACCAAAAGACCAACATGGCCCATTGATCCCCAAGAGTGATCAAGAGTGCCCCCAGTAGCGCGGCTAACACTTAAGGAAGTCAGTGCAAACCTTTCTGCAATGCACCAACAAACAGATCTAAGCCCGCCCCTGTCAAATTGATCCCATCAACCACAACTCAGTGCGGAATCTATGATCTAACGGCAAACTGCCCACTCCAGGCTTTTTTGCCACACCTTGCTTGGAGTAGCTGCAGCTCTGTGCGCAGCTCGTCTGCGGATACTTGGCACATCTGCTTGGAGAGGAGCCTCAGTACGTCCCAATAAAGGGCAGTGATGAATTAACCTGAGACGTGAGAGGTGCTCTAGTGCAACAAACTTGATGGGTGTCATTTGGAGCATGTTTTTGAGCTAACATCTATACAAACTAGGAATTCCAGTTGGCTTCTTCACGAGTGCCAACCCATTCCGAGTGACTCTTCGGAACTGCAGGAGTGATCCGATATTGGTTGGCATCCCGAGTGCTTCCTTCCACACAAATTCTTAAGACCTTTCGGTCGTTGGCAGGGGTGACACCAAGATACATTGAATGATCCTCTTGAATCAGTCGCGCTGGTTCTGGTCACTACTTACTGGCTAATGTTGTGATGGTTCAGTTGAAGCGTCTCGTGTTTTCATGATGCATGTTTCGTGGTTTTCCATGGTTTTCTGCATTTGGAAGAAGTCAGAGTAACCCTGTGAGTGCAGTGGAAGAAACATCAACCAACAAACAGGACATCGAAAACAAATCCAGGAAGCAAACCTGTTGAAATAATTGGTGGCTTTAGGTGGGAGAAACAAGAGATGCTTAAAAAAAAAAAAAAAAAAAAAATCCATGAAGCTGAACAACTGGAACCATGCACCATCATGCACCCATCAAGAGGTCACATACGAGTAGAATCATGCTATTTGTCTCATGACATCATGACTAAACCTCAACAGGTTTCCGACCGAAACACCCATGCGTTCTCCTGGTGCTGTTCGTTTCGAGATCCTCCAGTTCCCCCGTTCCCGGTCACCCGCTGGTCACCCGAGGCACTGCAGCTCGTAGGCTCCTGCAAGCCGAAGAACGCCCATCGCTGGCGCTTCCGGCGCCTTCGGCTCGCCAGCGAACCCGCGCCTTCCTCGGGGGCGCGGGGCCTGGCGGGGGCCAACGGATCGGAGGGGCGAGAAGCTCGGCAGATCTAACAAGAAATGGTGGCTCATCAGAGCAGAAACGTACTAAGTATACACACAAGCGCACTAATAGTCTTTGTGGGTTCCATTGGGTTCGTGCTCGAGAAATTCGATCATTCGATCCCTCGTCTACAGTGACTCGAAATGGTACATTGATCCATGGGTGCATGGTCACTTGACTCTTGCTCTACGCTGGCCGGAATAATGCTGACTCCTTGGACTTCCTCTCGTCTCCGGCCCACGGTCGCGGCGGACGCGCGACAAAGAGCTGAACCCATCCTGCGGGAGTTGCGCCCTTTGTGGCCCAGCTTCGCCCATGGCCCAGGTGCGCAGCTGAAAGGATGTGAATGGGTGGAGATTGGTTCACGTTTGTGGGTATGGGTTACCACACCCCAAGCAGGTGGGGATGGAGCCACGCAATTTCGGACGTCACATCAGAGGGAATGTACAGACTGTTGTTCATCTGCCTCCAAGGAGTACATCATTGTAAGAGTGTCCACTGATGAGGGCAGCTTGAGTGTGGTTCCGTTTTGCTCTCCAGTGCTTCCATGTACACGTCATTCTCGCGAGTGCAACGCTTCAACATGTGCTTTTCTCACTTGAGAATAAAGCTGAATGGAATGACACCAATTCATCGCTGCTGGTTGTTTGGGGTCGAGCAATTGGTCCACTCAGCTAGCCATCAGTATGGTCAAAACATGATGAGGTTCACATACAATATTATTTTGCTCCTGCATGTCGGGACACTAACTCCAGCATATCATGGTGGGGCTCATTGCAGGATGCACCACCATTCCTTCAACTTGTTAAGTTATAACGAAGCATATTTCTCGGACATTTCTTGCTTCGGTGCATCTTTGCAATCTCGGAGCTACAAAGCTTCTTCGAAAATCATGATCCAACACATGCAACCATCCAAGAACTAAACGGCGGAAGTTTGAGTTCCTCGCAAAGTCCTGCTCCATCGATCGAACAGAACACGGGCAAGTTTGCGGAAAGTCCTGAACTCGATCCTATCGATTGAACTGGATCTGCTTCGATTGATGGGTCTTCTTTGTGCGTCTCGCTTCCTCCCAGCGTGGCGGGAACCGAAGAACACCGAGGGGGGACAAGCCCACGACTAAGCACCGCTAGGTGGCTTTGGGGCCAGGTTGACAAAAATGACATATGTGCATGAACAGACTTTCTATGAAGGGATGTCAACCTACTACCATGGTCTGGTGGAGGTTCTGACTCACCTCGTGAAGAAACTCAGCTTCGCCCATGATCTGGCATGGAATCATGGATGCTCACGTGGCGTGAACAGCCTAGTGAACAGCCGTCGATCCTGAGCAAATGCGTCTGAGCTTTTTCGGAAGTTGAGCAAATCGTCCACAGGAAAGCAGAATGAATTACAGCTGCCGGTTCTCAAACAATCCTGCACTTCTGGGGCACAGCAAAGTTGAACCGAAATGACCCGAAGCGCATGTTGATGTACCGTGTATATAGGTATACCATGGTTTACCAGGGTTTTTGGAGTGGTCGCAGTTGGCCGCCGGTGGACATGTGACGAGACCCTAGACCTTTGCAGCTCCAAAAAGTGATTTTCTTGGTATGTATGTACAAAGACATGCAAACATTCCTGCTGCTGATTATGTTTATTATTGTTATTGTTATTATTGATATTATGAAGAAGAATAACTATAAGAAGAAGAAAAAACGAAAACTATGATGATGATGATGATGATGATGATGATGATGATGATGATGATGAT